TTAGGATGATGGCAAAGCGAACCTCCTAAGTGTGACACACAAAGGCCCGGCCCTGATGGAGACCTTATATATCGAGCTGCCAAGTACTCGGTGACGATGCGTTCTCCGGAGCCGGAAGTGGCGGACTTGGCGCCGCCATGGCAGTTGATCAAGATATAGACCCTTTTCTATCTTTTCTATGGCGTTACATTGAAGATCACTGAAGATTCATTCTTCAAGAGAAGCCAAATATGTAAGAATCCACTGCAACTTAGAGCACCCTATGATGATTGAGGTCTTGAGCTACTACGTCTTCAGAAGACTGCCCTGGCCGCCCTGGCCTCCCCCTATCGCTGCTCGACGGACCGACAACAGCCCGCTCACCTCCAAATCTTTCCTCACAGTGGCGTCCTGGGGTGCCACTCCAGGGGTTCGGAACCTACCCTATCATAGTCCTCAACCAGGTCATACTAGGACGAGGTCATATTATATAGGTCATACTAGGTCGTCTGAAACTGATTAAACAAACAAAAACGACTGTTTGGGACGGGGGAGTGTACACATCACCAATTACTAGTACGGTAGAAGAACAAGCTAGGGAATAGGCACACAGCATCTCCAGGACGTTATGCCATCAATATGTGCCCCACATAGTTTATAGTCTATAGTCTATGGTATATATAGAGTTCAAGTGACCATCGGTATAGAGTCAAGACAAATCATGACAACTCATGCGTGGGCTCACATAATCTATAGATATCTATAGATATCTTAGATACAAATGAAACTTGGCTTGAATCATGTTTGATGCTGCATTTATATAGTTGTCCAAAAGGATCGGTGGCCTGAGTCGGCACGAACGCTGGATGCGCCGTGCCGATTCTGCCCCGTTGGGTGATTGGGGATGTACGTTCCATATAGTGGGCATGGGCCAAACAACACCTATTGAACCTAGAAAAGAAATCAAAGAAAAATTGATGCAACTAAGAAACACTTGGAAACATTTTTGTAAAAAACACATACACCCTGTTTCTTCACTGTTCCTCACAGGTGATACACGGCGGTCCTAGGTCACCCAGGCCTCAACAAACACATGCACAGCAGAAGTCACCAATTCAAATAAACAACAACAACAACAACAACAACAACAACAACAACAACTACTACTACTACTACACCTACACCTACACCTACACCTACAACAACTACAACTACAACTACAACTACAACTACTACGACAACTACAACTACTACGACACTAACTCACGTCCGACTTCTTGCCTTGGGCATCAGCTTGCATGCGCGCACCAACTCAAACTCCGCCTCCTTCTCTTCACCCAGCTCCTGGGCTTCAAATCTTCGCCGAATAAACCGACGTGCTGGAGGACATCAGACGTGTTGATGGATCCCTCAAGACTGTGCAAAGAGTACACTCCCTGGAACTAACATGGAAGTGGAGAATGGCCCCGAAAGGAAGACCATGAAGTCCACTACAAACAGATGGTGTTCCACTTCCATGTTACTTCCAGGGAGAGTACTATACAAATGGTGCGACCTTCCAACACCTCATCTGCTGCAGGATATCTTCCGTACTAAACATCACCATCGTGAACGAGTTGCTTCAACCAGACAAACTCGATTCTTAGATATCCAAGTTGACTCTGGCGGAGGGTCAATATGCTGACTTCCGAGCCAAGTCTTTTCATGTCTGACTTCCGAGATGTGTCTCTTTAAACGTCAAGTTATACAAGCTTATTTTTCACCTGTTTGTTTTTAGTGGGGAAACCAATCCCAAAAAAAGGCTTTGCAGGTTATCCACTGACTGGGTAGGCTTGCTCAGCTGGCTCAACCAAATGATCTGGGAGTTTGGCTTGAACTCATGCAACACATCGAAATTACCCTGAAATGGCTATGGTCCATGTCCGTGCAAAATCATTCAATGGAATGTTTGCACCTCCGATTGACACTACGCAGTGGTCATGAGGAGTCACTCTGAATCATCCTCATGCCATTGTTGGCCAGCCGGAATCACAAAAGGGCATCTTTAAACATCCCTAGACCCCTCAAACCCATACCAAAGACCTTCTCAGGAGGTATTTGCTTGTTCTAGGGTTCATAGCCCTAGTCTCGGAAATGAAGGAGACACCCTCTGTTCTTCGGACTCGGAAGGTAGCAGCTGTTGAGAGCGAGGATTCCATGCTTGCCTTGTTTAACATTCAACTGAGGTCGTGTCCAGCAATGCCTTGGCCTTCCGGTAGGTGGCCTGGGCTTGACCCATCCGGTGAATGAAGTCAATCAAAGAGGTGGACAGCAAAAAATTGTAATACGCACCAGAATCAGAGCCTGCCTTGACTAAAAAGGACACCATGGTCGCAACGCTATGTGTACGGTGATGTACGGTGTAAGTTGCTAGTCAAGTTGCATCCCTCGCACCACAAGTTCTCAGTGTCTTGTTTCACACTGGCTAGGTCACGGTCTCTAGTTTTTGCTTGAAAAACACATATTTAGGCAAGTGATGGCAAGTGGCAAGTTCTTGAGCACTTTCTGTCACTTATGTAATAGACACTCCAACTCTGCTGCTAATCTATAGCTCCGAAAGAAACACGGCACCCGAATCAAAACGGCCAGGATGGCATACCTACGTGCCCTTTTGAAACCTTGTAAGTTGCCAGGTTTCAGCTTTCCTGGTACTCTTCCTCGAATTTCCCGGAAATCTGCACCTTCGGCCACCATCAATTCCTACTGCCCATATCAAAAACAAAGCACCAGCACCAGCTCTCTCCCGACTCGCCTTGGGATTTTCCGGCTCCGCATCCAGCACCTCCTGAAGTTGCTGAGCGAAATGACTTGTCCACTTTGACCGGACTTGGAGGGTTCTGAGCAGCTCTGTTCGCGTGGTCTTAATGTTGTCTGAATTTGTGTCACGTTGTCTTACCATCTTTGCGGCATCATCTGCGGCCTCTTTGATGCAAACCAAGCTGTGCCAACGATGGACGATTGGACGACTACGACTCGCTGACCTCGCAAAGCTCTAAAGCACGGAAGGGCTCAGTGGGGTCGAGGCGCAAGCACACCAGGGCTAGGTTCCTGGCAAAGATCGGTTCGCATGGAACCCTTTGTGAACCGTGGAGATCAACAAAACCGAAACCACAGTCACAGCCTCCCAGTCTTGACCTTGATGTTTTTTCACCCCTTGAGTCTGGGGCTTTGGAATTTGGTGTGTTGCTGAAACCCAGGCATTCACCTAGTATTTAGTGGATGTTTGGTCCTGCTTTGTCAGATTCCATGTGGGTCCTGCTTCTCAGACCCATGACAAAAAAGGACGTTACACTCCCTGGAACTAACATGGAAGTGAACAATGGCCCCGAAAGGAAGACCATGAAGTCCACTACAAACAGGTGGTGTTCCACTTCCATGTTACTTCCAGGGAGAGTAGTATTTCACTTCTCAAACCACATGACGAACGTCGATCTTTTGGTGAAGAAGTCACTCACGGGGCGAGCACACACGCACGGGGCGGCGCACGGGTCATGAGCACACAGCACAATAAATTAGACATACCCTTTCTGCAATGACCAGAAAAGGGTATGTCTAATTAACAAATTGACATTCCCACAGCACCCTTACAGCATCAATTAACCCTTCAAAATCTCAGTACACCAGAATAGGGCATCAGTATGGTTCAGTGTGGCTGTTTGAACAGAAAGTCCAGTGGCAGGCTGTTGGGACTTCTCGTCTAGCTGAGTCCATACTTGCCGAACCACGATCCACCACTGGCCAGTTCCCCCAGCGACAACAGGGTACAATTCTGAAGGGAAGGACATCCCCCCCCAAGAAAACAAATGTACAATCATGCGTCCCGGTCATGCACCCTTTTCAGAAAAGGAGTAAGAGCCCCTCCCACGTAAACCTGTTTGGGGAACAAACAACATGAACTGAACTCCATTTTGGGAAGCACGTCATGCAGTTTCCATTCCTGAATCTTCCAACTGTACAACATGTATGCCTTTTTTTGGGCTAGTTTTATAGACGAAAGGCAGAACACTGCTTTGCACAGTTGGAAGATCCAATAGGCATATAATCAACTAATTATTTATCGTTTCCAGATCCTTTCCGAAGAAGCAGGTTCATCTCTCTTTGAATACAAACATCTCTCGCTTCATGTGTCTCACTCGCCGAGCGACAACTGCACGGGTCTCCGCAGCTCTGCGGTCTCGGATGCCAGATCTGGACGTGATCATGGATGCCAAATGGTGGAATAGTTAGTCAATCATCCATGGGTTCACCAGGGCAAGGGTTCGGTTCGCAACCCCCAAAACACCAGTCAGTCAATTTTGGAGGATGACAACCAACATGTTGTTTCGTAGCGGCTAACTCTGCATCGTCCCAAGACAGTGCAGCCTTTCGGGGAAACTACTCTTCTATTGAGAGCCAGGAAAAAAATAAAACAACAACACACTATGGACTAGAGTTCAGACACTATGGACGTGCTGGTACGTGCTGGTACGTGCTTTTTACCTGTAACAGTGGATGATGATGGTTAGTAAAGGCCTCGTCCAAAAGTAGTGATAATTGTTTACAGACTGTTGCAGGTAATAGGACAAATCCAACTTATAGAGCTTTAGTGGACAAATTCTGAGCAAATGATCTCCGTACTCACCAAAGTCCTACCTGAAGCGATTCATGGCGTTCCCTTGCTTCGTACGGTGGACTTGAACACGATCACGGCATCACGTCGGAGGTGACGGGACGTAGAGTTCGGAAGCTTCTACCACGTCACACCGATGGTAAGACTATGTAGGACTCATGAATGCTCCAAGGCTCTATAGCTTGAGCCACTTATCTAAAATTAGATGTCCACCCCGCAACCTTTCTCCCTCCCCGTGACGCGCACCCCACCCCACTCCACTCCTCCAACAGTGCACAACAAAAAGAGGCAACTTCTGGGTCTTGATTTTTTGTGTTGTATATTCCCATCTCCAATCACTTCCCATTCTCCAACCTGGCATTTTCGATCACAGTCAAAAGATTGGTATCTTGCGACTCCATCTGATGATAGACCAATGAACCTTCCATCCATGGCACGTCAATCCATTGTACTCACAGGTCATCACCCCGCCTTCCGGCATCTTCTGCGTGATCCTCAAGGCCTCAGCATAGGCCTTGCGGGCACCAGGGAAGTCCTTGCGGGCACCGGTGGGAAAGATCGGGAAGACAAAGCCAATCCTACAAGTAGAGCTGAAATTAGGGCACTGCTGGTATAGTATCAGCCACTGAAACCTGTTGTAGCTGTTTTGTTTTTGGGGTGATTTAATCGCTGCTATATGGTGTTGGAGGAGTTAGATGTAAGCAGTCCATCAATCCAAAGGAATAGGGAGACAGGAATCAAAAGCCTGAGCTCGTGCAACGGAGCCAACTCACTTGCTGCTGTTGGCCCGTTGGCTGCTGGGAGCCATGTGTGACCTCAACAATGATACTGACCTCACCTGCTAAAGTGCGCACAGCACGTTCGACTTATCCATGGATTGTATTGTGCCGGATATATTGTTCAAAGAAAGCACACCGCAGGCTGCAATAATCTGCCCGCACTAGCCCTACCCTGGCCGCCAATCAAAATTGGGGTATCTTCGCAGTCCGGCCACTTCCAACAGTCGAAGGCAAAGATATCTCCTCCACTTTGAACTTCGCATTGCCCTCTTCCTTCAGCTTCCTAAGGCTTTCGGAAAACGTGGCGCGTCGATCTCTTGGAGTCGGGGAGTGCGTGCGTGCCTCCGTCCATCCATGCACCTTCTTGAGGGGGGGTTCAGGAGGTTTCGGGCTTCAGGAAGAGACATGAGTTCATTATAGTCAAATATCATATATTAATATGCCACTGGAGGGCCACTGTCTGGGTGAAGACTTGAAGGTTCACATTGATTCAGATCGATGGATATATTTGTTATATACTGCAGTCGCCCCAATGGAAAGAACGCACATTTGGTGCCTTTCGACGTGCATGCCGTACAAGTGACTCATAGTGGCCACTGGAAGATGGAGGAGATCTCATCAGGAACACCCATGCCTTTCCGAAAAAAAAAAAAATAACATATATATATATACTATATACTATATGTTTCAGCTACTCTCATATCAGTTCATCATTTTTCATCTGATCACATCCTCCAAGGACCCCCTCCCTGAATTCGATGCTTCAATTCTAGAGGTCACCTTAAACCCTTCGCCCAACGCCCAACCGCTGCCCGGCGGTTGGGCCGGAGCGTCTTGGCTTTCTCCAGCCGCTCAGAAGGATCGGTCTTCTCCTCTGAAGGCCGCAGGGTGTCTGGTTCCATGGCTGGGCGCCGCGGCCACCCGGTTCACGGCTGGGGAGCCCGGCGGCTACGAACCGGTGGGGCAGTGGCCGGTGTTCAGAAAGCCAGAGCCAGCAAACAAATGGCCTTTGCTTGGAAACAATGGGTCTGGGCTTTGTCGGGAACCAAGGAAACGGATGAGCTTTATTGCAAACAGCTAATATAGAATCAAATACAGTAGAATACTCTCTAACAGGAAGGTTTTAACTCCTCATCCTTGAAACAACGCTGGATAGGGTCAGCAAAACTGTTCGGACAATTCAGCAAAATCAAATAGTGAGGTGGATTCCAGTTCACTTTTTGGCTTTTAATGGCTTTGAGCTGCTTTTAGCCTATATTTGCTTTATTAATATTTTCCTGGATTTAAGATTGAGGAGCAAGCATATGTCTGTTCATATCAGAAAGGACTTCGAAGGGCCAGGGCCAAGACCTTGGTCGGAATATTTCATGTCAGCTGAGAGCATCGAGTTCTATATTTCTTGAGCCAAAGGCTGAGTTTTGTGGCACTGACAGAGCCGCCAAAGATGTCTCAACATATCGCGCAGGGCCAGGCTGCCAAACAACACAGAACATATTCCTGGCAGTATGTGGTCTTCTGGGCACCTGAAAGACAATCCCGGGGCCCTTTGATCTGACCTCTCTTCAGGTGCCCTCCACCTTCACGTGGACCTCGGTGTCTCCGGATCATGTACAATTACAATGTAACGCCCGGTCGCCCTCCTGTGCAGCTTCCTTCCCACCCCAAGTCAGTCTGCCACGTGTCGCTCAAAGCTTCTTCCCCACCCAGGGGTCAGTCTGCCGCGCGTTCGTTGGCGCTTCCCTATACTCCACAGTGGGACGTCTCGGGCCACCTGGGTCTCCGTGGAGCGCGAATGGAAGGGTTGGTCTGCCAGCCTCGGGTCTGCAGTGTCACGGGTGAGACGAATCTCCCGTCTGCAGTAAGGACCCTTGGACCAGGAGATGTTCGGAGATCTGCGGAAGCCATCGAAGGAAGGACCCAGGTGAATGATGTGAATGGGACATTAAGCAATGCATAGGTTTTGTCAGCTACTACAGTGGGGGGGTAGTTACCCAAAGCCTTTGCCCCAAGTAGGAATTGTCTAGTTCTTCAAAGCGACCTTTTGATCTCCTGGTTGTTTTGGTCACGAACAGGCCTGTTGGACTCAGGTCACTCAGGGGCACTCCAAAAAGATCGGTTACGAACTGAAGAAGCTGGCTCAGGTGACCTATGTGGTCCCACGTGGTCCCCAAATCGATAGTGGCACGGTGTCCACACTTTGAGTGGTCTTCTACCTATTAATAAGGTCTATATATACACGTGTTGAAATGGATCTGTGATGTCCGGAGTCCTGAGGGGAAACCTCCTCAGGCCCAATCAGAAGGGCATGTTTTCGCAGCAGCTGAAAGGCCTCCGTAGAGGCGAAGCAGTGCTGTTTGTCGCTTGAGACATCAAGCATCGCTTGAAGGGGGCAAGTCAGCATCAAATGTGTATCGTATCGTTTTGGGGCCTTTCAAAATATGAACCGTTGGATGGTTCCCTGTGCTGTTCATGCAAAGCAACATGACATCGAAAGAACTTAAGATGGCTGCACTAGGGTTACCAACGATGTGCGGGTGTTGCGACAAATGCCGCTTGGTTCATTCCTCCTTGCTTGCCCAAGCACGACTTCTTGCTGGTGCCAAAGAGGAAGGACCTCAAGGCTCTCTCAAGCACTTCCTAGACTCGTCCCACTCCAACCGCCCACGGAGATTGCAGCTCAACAACGCTAAGCCAGTCGGGTGTCTACTTCTTTCCTGGAGCTTATTGACTGAGTAGGACATCCACTGACACTTCCTCAACAAAAACAACATCCAAAATCAAACACCCCACTCCTCATCCACATGATTCGCATCGAACCGGAAAACTCATTCCTTCCTCTTCGTGGACCTCGGGACCTCGCGTCGCCGTCGAAGCGGTCGAGTTCATTGAGACCCCCCACGAGTGCTCCACATGGCGTAGCCTTACGGGGGAGAATGGTGGAGAATCCTGTTTCGGGTGGGGTGCCTTACTTGTGATTGGTCTATAGTTCTTTGGATTTGACACCTGTTATTTTCTAGTTGTTCATTGTTCTACGTTCTTATCTTAAACACTTATCTTAGAAACCTCATCATACGGGAAATCGGTAGGTTCTACCACTAGTTGACATCAGGCTGTCAGGGAGTGGTGAGGAAATCCTCAGAACCCTTGGCCAAGTGATACCTGTTCTTGCACAAGTTCTCTATTCACAAGAATAGTTGAACCATATTTGAACATATTTGAACCATCAATAGACTCAATAGACAACACATGAAAACAGGTAATTAACTCGGCACTGCTCTGTGCTATCTTTTACAGCTACTGGCAAACATGTTTCTTCCCTCATCACTCTCCACAGCACTCCAAAGCCTGTAAAGGTCAAAACCACCAAGAAACTTGCCTGGAGACCTGAACTTGATGCAATGGGAACAACAACAACAACAACAACACGAGAAACCTCAAACGACTCAAAGTCCAAATCCAAAAACGATCAAAAACGACAGCATCCAGTCACCCCTGTTGGTATATCTTTTGAGCGGTGCGTCCCATTTTCATGCACTGGACAAAACGCCGGACACTCGTACGCTCCACTCGTCTGCCTGTAGCGCCGGAGGAAGGTATGCTCCACCAGGCCTGGCACAAGGCGCCAAAAAGATAAATTATATCTGGAACCTGAGCAACCTCTGTTTTTGGAGACAAATTGTATTGTCTTGTCCTATCGAAACAAAGGTCAACTGCTAGGAATATTATAAGTTCAGTATTATGTCATAGTCTAGAGATACTCAAGTACTTACATAATGGACCATCTATGACCAGTGATCTGTGACACTTCAAGCCCTTTTTCTTTAGGTGGCGAGCCCTGTGGGTGGCATGTTCGCAGCTTTCTTTTGGAAGAAAGTCTGTTTGAACAAAAGTCTGTTTCATAAAAACAACAACATAAGCATAGGACGGCATGATAGAGGATGCTCTGCGGAATATGACCACCTGAGACTGTCTGGAACATGGGTGCACGGATGATACTGGCCGCTAGTCGCACGAGATACCACTTTGTGTTTGCTTGCGCTGATGTGGTCGTTTTCAAACGCCTCGAAATCCAGTCAAACAATCTAATTCAGGTCTAGGATGAAGAAACAGGGGGTTCATAAATTAAATGGTCTTAAATTAAACTCAAACGCAATTGGCATTCGATAAATCAAACAGATTCAGGCTTGGCTTCGTGTCCTACAGGCACATGCTCGAATCTTCGAACCCTCATCCATGGGCAGCCATGACTTCATCCCACAACCTTGGCTTCACCCCCAACAATTTTGGCCCCGCTTCCAGTGCAGGTCGTTTCAAGGTCGTCCAAGGATCCAAGGACCTCCAAGTACCATGACGTTCCACACGATGCTACCGATGTAGGTCTGGAAATATGATGAAATTTATGGGACTTCATGTGACTTGGAAAAGCCTTCAAAGGGACGCTTAACCATGTGTGCGCTCATGTGGGAAGCCATATCCCATCATGTGCCATATACAGTGCCAACAAAAATGTTGGCCACAACAAATTGGGCACTCTTTCCAGTGGTCTTTTTCTAAGATGCGTCTCTCAGATTCGTGGAGATATGAGCAGTTCCGTAAACCAAACGGTGAGTATCAAGTCTAGTGCATGCTGTATGTCATTGTCTTGCATCGTCTCCACCCACAAGGACTCTTCTTCATACACAAACTTTGGTTTTAAGTTTTGATGCTCAGAATTTCAGGAATCGAGTCACTGCGGTGTGTGAAAAATGGACGTCATTGCTGTGGGTCGCAACCTGGATCGATTTTGAAGAGTCGAAACCGTGCCCAAGGTGCTGGCAATCTTGAAAGGTCCAGCACTACTCGAGCGAAGCTGATGGGCGATCACAGCGATCACCAAGAACGATCATGTACTACAGTCGTGAGTGAAATCGTTTTGAGGCCGTGTTGGAAATTACAAAAACAAAACCACCTTGTACAGGGAACATGGCATTCTCGACACTACTTTTCCTGCTGTTGGGCCATCACCCATCTTTCTGCCAGTCTTTAGTCGTTCCCTGTGTCTAGCAGTCTATACCATCATTTGCACCAGTAGAGCAACCCAATTTTGGAACAAGCAGCACTCCCTCGAGCAACATCAATTTTGACCAAACGATACAAGTACTTGTTAACCTGAGTGATTAGCATTCTTCGTTGCCATCGCATCAGCTCAAACTTGAAAAGATTGAGATCGGGTCTTCTTGCGAACTTCCTGTGGCACACAGCAAGCCAGCAGCTACGGCTGCAACGCGAGCAACACACTGAGAGTGTCGTTGATGATTTCCATTTAGAACTTTGATGTGTTGATCGACTGGCTACTATCATGTGTGAACTGTTGGACTCAACAAGAAACATGTAGAAGCACCTTAAACTAAGTATGGGGCATATATATATATAGTGTTTATAATATTTTGAAATATATAGCGCAAAACAAGACTGAACCTTTAAAAAAATCTATTGGGAGAACATCAACATTGGGTGATCCCCATAAGTCGTCAGGTGGCCACAAGGAAATCGAAGCTCCTTTCAGAGACATTGCTCCATGGAAAGCGTTGGCACCAGGCAGCCTTCAAGCTTAGGGAAGCTCCAGGAATCCAATGATTCTCTCAAATTGAGGGATTGACTGTTGGAAAGGTTCTCTAGGTGTTGACTATTCGATCAACATATCAGGCTTACAATACCGCATTTGGTGGTGCTTTGGGTTCCTGCAATTCACGAGGTTCCAGCTTCTACTACTTGCAGCAACTCTACAAGTGTTCTCTGTTTCGACCAGGTTTCTCATCTGTTTGGCTCCGATGTGGACCCCCGTCACCAAAGAAATCAGCACACACAAGTCACACCTGATTGGTGCTTCGCAATGCTGTTTTCCTCAGGGGAAGAACACACCAAAACATGAGAAAACATGCCCTTGTACGATGACCCTGATCAGGCAACTTGCACCCTCACAGTGATGATGTGTGTCCAATCTTATTAGAAATTGATTCTGAATAGACTGACCCAACTATCTCACTCGTGACGCTAGTTTTCAAGATCCATTGACATGATTTGACATGCATCCATTGTGTAAAGTAGTCTTCCCCTTGTGAGTAGCCCAACCTTGTCGTGGTTCACATACACAAAAGTCTACGCACAAACTTCTGCCATATGTTCGGGTGGAAAGGGGCCTTGTATACACACAAATGTTGCAAGTGCTAAACCTCCGAGACTAAAGGACAAAATGCAACTGCACATTGACCACTGCTATGACAATTGGTTGCTGGCACTCGGGAGCTGGCCCGCTATGAACTTAGCATCTGAAATTTGCAGTACAGTATCTTTGTCTGTACCGTGCAGGCAAAGGCAAAATTCAGGAAATCGACCTGGTTCAACTTCAGGAACCTGTCAATGGTTCATAGCCTCCATTCCTCCATTCCTTCCCGGCCTGGGCCAGCCATTTCCCTTCCTGATGAGCCCCTCAGACTGCTCAGGCCATGACGATGTCCTGGGGAGGACTCGTGGCTCCCTAAATTGGGGAAGGCGAGTCCTCGTGGATGGGGAAGTTGTAGGAGTTGAGAATCCAGGTGGAAAGCCACCACATCACTCGTGGCTCTCCAATCTCTTGCTGCAAGCCACCTTTTTTCAATTGGCTCAAATTTGCATGATTGAGTAACTATTGAGATTTATTGAGTGTGCGCTGGTCAAACAAATTCAAGATTCAACACCTTTTCATTAAAAAAAACATATCTCTTTTCATGCTTCTTTCTATATGCTTCTTTCAACAACTTTGTGAGGACCAATCACGTGTTCCCAACAAACACGTTCATCCCTCGGGAGCTGCCGTTCGAACTCCCAAAGCGCGACTTGCTGCGGGTGAAGGGGTGCGGTACAGCCGATGCTTTGGTGCGGTTCAACTTGGGATAACTGATGGACTTTCAAACGGAAGTGCAAAGAATAGCGGTAGCGCAACGGAAGCGGACTCATGTCAGCCACGGCCGAATTGGAAGTTCCAAGCAACAAAACACTTAGGTGTCTGTTTGGCCCTTGACACAAACAAAGATAATATAATCAAAGATAGTAGGTTGGAGGCCATGCTATTAGGTTGGAAGCCATCGGTAGTAGGGCTTCCACCACGTCCCAACCTCGACACCTGACACTTGCACCTACCTGTCCTCTATGATGCTCTCACCCTGAACGTGCTGTGGTCGGGTGCTATGGTCGGGCGCACCAAATGATGAAAAGGGAGAGACTTGGCCTTGCAGAAGGGACAGGTGGCAAGCTGCCTTCCTGAAAACATCCTGCGAACAAGATCTATTTCATGTCAGTCTGAAGACCACTGAGGCCAAAATGAAATACCATGCAGGTTGCCAACACTTCCCTCCGGGCCAAATCTCCATCTCTTTTTCGGTCGGTTTCCGTCCCTCCCTCCTGCATGAGCATCAAACCGATGCTGCCAAGGACTTCCTGCAGTTTTGGAGAGCATGAATCCCAATGTGGAGGATACTCTATTGAGGTGGTTTGTGTTGAACCCATCATTCGGTCGGAACTCCATTATCAAACTAACTGGTCCTCAACAACAAGCTACGGCCAACTTCCAATTATCAAGGCGCTACACTCGATCGGTAATCAGCCTTGAAAACACTGCTTAACGCATTGACCATGTTACGTACATGTTCCACCGATCTAGCTGTTCAGTTTCAGTCAAGTCAGGAACCAACCTCAAAAATGCCTGCGAAATGACAATTGACTGATGAGGCGAAAGACGCAATGAACAAAACCAACACAGCTCCTGGACCTTTTCATCTTGGCCATCCTTGAACTTGTTGCGACCATCCGTCAAAAGCTCCTTCCTCAGTGGGCAATTGGGCAAAGGGAAGTTATCAAAATTTGCTCTCGAACAAATTAATGACCTTCTCCTCTAGGGTGGCTGACCTATACTCCTTATTGACTCCTGATGTAAGACTTCAGTAGATCATTGCACTTTGCCAAGAAGGCGGATCTGGGGCCACTTAAGCGCCAAGAAACCCATCCTTCATCTCCACATCGATTTCCACCTACCGGACTGAGCTCAGGCCATCTCTCAGGTGAGTCAGACCACGACCATCCGGTCCGAGGGGGTGGGATACGGGGTTGATATGGGCTATTCCGGTGAGACTGATCTAACCCCGGTCTCAGATCAGATCTGGGGGTCTTCACCCTCCAACGAAGGTGTTTTTTGGTCCGGTTGGGATTCGACTGGCGGCACACCGGCGCTCACCGTCCGACGGAAGCGTTCCCCCGAACGCTGCACGATCGGCTGGTGCCCCGGAACGAGATGTCGACCAAAGGCCGAGAAACAAACGTGGACGGAGGAGAAGGAGCTTCTCAAGAAAAACACCTGAACCGAGGTCTTGTGAATTAGACCCATGTGGTCAACACATCACGGAAAACAAAGAAACAACAACTTTGTGAGGTGACCATATTCACATCCTGCGAGCTATCCCGCACAAATTCACTATTGGTGTTGACCCAAGATACCATGGAATCTCGCTCACAAAAACATCTCTCCCAACAACGTCTGGAACATTTGCGTACGACACCTGCCAGTTTGTGCCTCTGAGAGGAACTCTTTCACTGCGTCCTGGGTCCACGAGATTCTGAGTGTTTGAGAGATGAAATGCCCGTGGCGAGAGAAGCACTACAGGAGAAAGGGTGAGAAACATGTTTTTTTGAACGGCAGGAGCAAGGACGCTACGAACGGAGCAAAGGGCATCGCTACTAGGAGCAAGGACGCTACGCTAGGGGCTCCTGGCATCGCTACTAGTAAAAAGAAGCTATTAGTAACAAGAAGCACTACAGTGTCATTCCCTGACACGCCACAACTGGATTGAATTCTATTCCTAAAGGCAATGCTTTTGGAATCAACAGGCACACCACTGGCACACCCAAATGAAATCAATCGGTTTCTATGGTTTTCGGTTCATCTTGAGACAAAGCTATCCAGATTCTCCTTTGGGTGCTTTTCCACCTGCGAATGTCCATCGCATCTTTGTTCACATCTAATTCATGCATGCTTCAGTGGAGAATCCTCGTTTACCACTGACAGGGTAGGGTTGCCATTCCAAAACATGAGTTTACTAGCTAGCATCACCTTGACTCCCCAAAACTACCAAACATGTTTACGTGTACCTGAAGCAAAGAAGCACTAACATATCTTCCAAAGGGCATGATATACCTTGGTTAGCTCTTAGGCATTGGGATGTTTTGTGTGATCACACTCAACATGATCTCAAACACCACTAGCCCCAAACTAGGATTGAACTCCCACCCAAACACACCAAAGAATTGATCGATAGCTTCAACATATGGTCTTCGACCTGTTTGTGCTCTTTTGGTACGGACAATGATCACCAACAAGCAAAAGGTGCTACATAGATCAGGATATACATATTATATACCTCGAACTAGAACCTGAATGACTCAACTATCCAAAATATGGTCGTTTCTTATCAAAAAGGATATCAAATGGGTTCTAGGTATATATTATACAACGCTTTATAACTACTCCATGAATTTTCGATACGATACATTGGCATTATCACCCGTCACCCCCCCGGTCCGACAAGTGAGACAGATTCGACCTCTATCCCTGTACATTCGATGCCGGTGCTGAAAACCAGTCCTTGTCCCAGAGCCAGACCGCGCGCTTCTTCGCGCTCTCTGGCGGGATATAAGGCACGTCGGCCTGTGCTTGATCCTGGCGACAGCACCAAACTAGAGACCCATAGCAGGGGGGGTTGCTGTACTTTGTTCAGCCTAGCCTTTAGAGTCCATGTTCAGTTTCCATGTGCTGTGAATCTGACTTCCAGCTATGTTTCAGGATGTTCAAAGGGCACCTCCTAAGGCACCTCCTTTGCAACACGTCCATGTCTCAATGTGTCAGATCCCACCGCTGTGCAAGCGTAGCACATCTCGGACACATACCCATGCAATCTATGGTTTTAAGATGTTTAATGGGCCAATGTACACTCCCTGGAATTATCATGGAAGTGGAAAATGGCACCATTGGAACCTTTACATGCTACATGCGGACATATACTTCCATGATGGTTCCAGGGAGTGGAGGTGAATATTCCATACTAGGGGCAAGAAGCTACGAACGAGGCTCCTGGCCTTACTACTAGGAGCGATCGGACGCTACGAACGGGGCTCCTGGCATCGCTACGAACGGAGCAAGAAGCTAATGAATATTCCATACCAATACATTAAGTATCATTGAGTCTTTGGGATCCGAGACTGTGATCCCCTGACCCTGGCGGAGCGTTGCGGCATGGCGATGGTCCACAGGTTCCTTTGGGCTTTGAACGAGCCCGCGGGCCCTGTGCCATGTGTAGCATGTCATAGCCAACGCATGTCTTTGAGATCAGTTGCCACCTGTCGGAACATGCTCGCTGGCGCACCTCCATGAACATCTGCATCACGCGCTTAATCATGGTGTCAACTTTCTTCTTGTCATCTTCCTTTTCAAATTTCACTTCATCCATGACAAGCCTCATTCATGCAGGCAGGTGTCAATGTTCTTTTCCACAAAATCACAGATTGGGAAAGGCCTGTTTGGCTCATAGGTTTGGCTAGCAATCATCATGACCCAAGAAAGCTGTTTCAGTTTAATGGCGGGACTTTGATAATATATAAATATTGCAATATGATGATTAAAAAAGCAACGCTTGCCGTCAAACTTACATGGGAACACGAGGGATCTCGGCCACGCTGCTGCTTGCCAGTGCACTTGGGGATCTCGCCTGCGAGGTCGGTGTGTGATCTGTGAGCAAACAAAGGAAGTGCAATCTACATGCTGCCATCATGGCAAGAATTCATCCAACACAATCCATCATCATCCAACTACATCAGTTCTATGACATATAGTTCAAATTGCTCCTGGTGCGTGTTAATTACAAACATCCGAACCCCAAAAAAGACCTGCATGTTTCAAGTAACAAGTAGTCATCCAAACCTGCATTTTTCCCCCCCACCCTCCCATGATGTTCATCGCTATCGCTGGTTCACGAACGCGTGCCGTCCCTTACAGCCTACTTCCAAACCCCCAAAAAGCGGTGCAACCCCGCGGAACGCACCAGATTCCATGCGGATCGGATCGGCCGTGGGGAACGTGGAAGGCTCAGCGACCGTGCGCAGCTGCGTTTCAGTCGACTCATCCGGCCCCTTCGACTCGTTCGGTGACCGCTACACTCAGTTCGGGTCTAAACCAAACGCGTCGTTCGGTGAGGACGAGATGTCTAAACCAAACCAAAGATCTCCGTCTGAACGGGCGAATTCAGGACATGTGAAGAGCGATGTGACCTTGGTCCTGATTGGTCGAATGAATTCCAACAGGTATGGTGAGAACGTGATTAGAACGTGTGTTTTTCCGATCTCGGTCTTGAAGAGCAAATCAGGACGTCCTGGACCCAGTGTCTTGGGAGTATGCGCCTTCCAATTCATTCTCGCCCAAGGCTTCGGCGCAGTTGTCCTCGGTCCACAGCCACACCGCACGGCGCATGTTGCCTTGGAGCCGCACGTGGTGGGACGTGTCGGGTGTCGTCCCCGGTGTTGACTCCATTTGTTCGCTACGAACGGAGCGGTCCGGACGCGACTGTCGTCACTTATAGGTTCAAACACTTGGGTCAAAAGAGATTCTAAAGGGTCAAGCACTTATTATTAGCTTCAATGAGATTCTATCCAATGTAACAGGGAGACGCCCTGGCCTGGGTAGACAACCAATCGATGTCCGATCCGAACTCCGGCGGTCGAATCTGAGAGGTCGCCCATTATTTTGATACACCCGCCCTGTTCGTGGTTCCCTCGAAAACACAATCAGAAGGGGGATGGTATCTTTCACATCCACCCTCCATGATGCCCCGCTCAAAAGTAAACCCCATATATATGTGGAAAAGCTATGAAGCGCGACAAAGAGATGTCCAATTCATCATTGCCATGCCTTGAGCGATGCCATGCTACTCCCAGGCTTTCCTGCGAGGTTGAGGACCTTCTTCAGCTTCTCATTGTCTTCGTCACTCAGCTTGCCTGACGAGTATATAGTTAGTAGTTGTCTTCTGGATCTACTTCAAATGCTGCAAATTAGCCTTATGTTCTCCACCATACAGGGAAGGAAACTTCAGGAGCCCATCCCTCCTTCAAACGGGTCTGTTTTTGTAGGTCTCTAAATTAGGTGTTCCACCACAGAAAGTGTTTTTCTTCAGTAAGGCAAACAAGGGTTAAGCAAGTCTCCCGAATTGAGAGCCCGACTAATCTGGATGATTAGGATGAGCAAAGCACATCAGCACATCACTTGAACAATTCCAGACATCACTTGTACTTGAGCAATTCCACATCAAGTACGTGACTCTAGTGAGCCAGGGTCCTTCGGTGCCATAGAAGAGCATTTGGGAGAAAAACACATAACCTAATTCGGGTATGCGGACAAACCCCATGTGTTCTTGCAAATTTTAAGAAAGCTCGGGTTTCCTGGGACAACCCCGGGTATTCCCCCGTTGTCTGCAAGGTAACGCTGATAGTATTCCTTTACATGCTCAAAGAACAGGGTGGTTACACGAATGAACTTGAAATTTGTTTGTTCCATTGCTATTTTGTTGACACTTTAAACTTGTTGAATACTATCAGGAAAAGTTCCGGTGTGAGGTAGAACCCGTGATTTACGAGTGCTTAACCATGACTAAACCTTGCTGAACCTGCGATTTGCAAGGAGTTGTTTTGTTTATACATGTTTAATATACTTTAAAACGCGAGATGTACCTGTGCTCAAGTTGTGATTTACCTGTGATAACTTATCTATAACCCGTAGAAATTCACATGTTTTGGATGATTTGGAGGTCAGATTGTGAATGACGTTCGTTCGGAGGTCAAAACAAACATCTTCCAAATCGATGCCCACTATTCTCGAGGGTATCGAGCAACTCACGTTGCCACTATTTTCGCTACTCACGTTCTGAAATCTGAAAAGCGTTACGCTGGCTACACATGTGTATTCTGCCAGGACTCTCGAAAGGAATGCACTCAAACTTCACCTACAGCCATTCCGGCCATTCTGCTTTTCACCCTCGGCGGGCTAATGGTTTCCTGCCCCCCCCCGAAAAAAAAAAAATAAATAAATAAATATATATATATCATATATCGACATCCCTTCATTGAAATACTCCTCAGACCTCTGGAACCACTTGACAAACACAGCTCCATCACATCAATTCTCACCCCAAGACTTTCTCAAGCAGGTTTCTAGGTGCAAAGCTCTCTCCAAAGACGGATGGCGCAAAACTGGGCCTAATGCTCTGGTGTTCATTTTAGCTTGGCCAGATTTGGACCATTCCTCATCTGCCAAAAGGCCCAGGATATCCTTCAAGTCCTTGTGCTCCATCTTTCCTGTTCACCGCAGAAGCACTGGTGGAAAAGGTTTCAGCCAGTTGCTGCGACCAGATGAATGACCCAGAAATCATGTGGCAAGAATCGAAGCATCATGAACTCATGGACCATATAGACATTGATGTGACCATGTCCTTTTCCTATTCATGATCCAATACAATTCTATGATTTGCGACCAGAACTGAAGCCCTGGGGATCCAGTCGTACTGTCAGCATGTGTTTCGGAAACACCTTTCTCAGAAGGTGACTGGTCCAAAACCAGCTGAGCATGGGCTCAGACTGGATTGGGTTCCCAGGTCCGTGCTGAGGCAAGGTTGGGACCCATCAGAAGGTATCACTCCCAAAATCAATTGGACAGGAAGGAGTTGTTGGTGTTGCATGCCACTTTGCTTTAGGTGGCTCTGAGGATATGACAAGCAACAGTTGAAATGCAAGCAGTTTAACAAATTTTGACATGTTTGCATTTGGGGATCCATGCCATGACTAGGTATGCATGTGATTATCACATGATGATGCCATCCCTCGGCATTAGATTGGTCACCTTTTGTTTAACCTTTTCCATACATGGGTCTCTTGCGGCTTGCTGCTCTGAAAGGTTCGCCACCCCCCGGCCGCTGCAGGTGTGCTTGTGTGGTGAGATAAGGTACTTGGACCCTCCAAGCCTACATAACAGTGTCTCTGATCACCTTGATAAGGTACTTGGGTCCCAGGGAGGGATTGACAATGATTGACAATCCAAGCAATCCAGCCAAATACGTCTTCATAGTCTTCGGGTGATTTGGGATGATTATCTAGAACTGATCCAAAACTCGACCCAGCGCATCCAGTGACACCACTTTTCTTTCCGGATCCATGGCCAAGTTTGGCCCAAGACTGTCACGCATCAACCTGGGCGGACACTATTTGGCGTGGGGGATCGATCATCGAGGAGCAAATGGTTGGGGAAGACCTGATGGTTTCGAAGCCGATGCGCTTCAAGGTTAGTGCAACTTATCTTCAAGAATGCACTAGATATGTAGCAACAGTGCAACCTGTGTGCATGAACCAGTGAGACATGTGTTTTTCTACTTTTTGAGCATTATATTGAGGCCATTGGGCAAAAGATCCATGATGGTCTGATGACCTATTGCGCAACTCGGGGCCCGGCCATCCTTGCATCAGATGGTCGGGAGTTGGTTAGCTTTCCAGAACGTGAGAGGCCAATCATTACAGAACAGGATCTAGAAACCAACTTTGAGCTGATCCGCGAGATTGCATGCATATGTTTCGAACTCCACTTGAAGCCGGGATCGACCCATGAAATTCCAATTTTGGCCGAGTTTGAGGCTGGTTGCGTGTGATTTTTGGTGTGCTGTTTGGCTTGGCCATACCTTTACATAAATGTATTGTTCCAGCTATAGTGTGTCCCTGATCAGGGGGCTTTGCTACTTCTGTCTCTTCGCTGCAACTTCCATGTTGATCTTCACCATCGACGTGGAGGAAAGGGCAAGATCAGAGAATCTAGGCATATAGCAAGTAAATGTGATGATGGTTGTAAGGGCTACCACCTCTAGTGCCTGCTGTAAATGACTGAGCCTAGGAATGGGCCAATGCAGAATCTACTCGGTTGCGGAAGCTGCTGACTTACTTGGTGATTCTCACCAATCGGACACCTGAGTCAAGGATCCTGCCAAAAGAAAGACACCTAGTAACTTAGTATAAGAACCAACATGAACCAACATGGCTTGCAAAATGCTACACAACATTGTTGGACCTTTGGGTGTGAAGCAGGAGCGAGAAAGTGAAGGTTCTCAAGAGCCTTGTGAAGTCCTTCCGAACCATCAAATTTGCAGAGGCCTGCTTTTGGACTATCTTTTGAGTGTTGGTATTACAATAAAACATGCATTTGCTAGGCCAGTAGTGTGGAGGAAGCACCACCTGTGGAGCCATTGGAGGACGTTACTTGTGTCAATCCCTTTTGAATTATGCCACAAACCACACCACACTGTCTGTACAATCATCTGGGCAACCTGGCCAGCTCAGCCAGCAGGACGAGAGGCATTTGCAGGTGGACCTGGATGATGAGCCGATTATCACAGCTGTTCACTTGGTCGAGGGTCCTGTGCTAGCTGGGCCAGTGGAAGTCAAATCAGAACAAGTTGAAACTCAGCTGTTGATTCTTCAACAAACAGTTTCATGTGAATTTCAATAATGCTGCCTCAAAATTTGGTCTAACAGTTGGGATCTTAAGGATGCTGATGGTCCTGCTTTGGGGGATGCTGGTGCTCCTGCTACCGGCCTAGGGAGTGAGGCCCCTCCTGTGACTACAGCAACTTATCTGTCTGTCAGGATTATATTGTGTATGTGACGTTCAATGCCTCAATGCTGTCTCAAAAACGCATGCTAGCATTTTGGATCTTAAGGATGATGGTCCAGCTTTGGGGCATGCTGGTGCTCCTGCTGCAGGGAGTGAGGCCCCTCATGTGACTGCAGCCACTTATCTAAAGTCTGTCAGGATCATATATTGTATGTGACTTTCAATGCGTCAATACTGTCTGACAAACGCATTCTAGCATTTTGGATCTTAAGGATGCTGGTCCAGCTTTGGGGAATGCTGATGCTCCTGCTACAAGCAGTGAGGCCGCTGATGTGAATGGAGCCACTTATCTAAAGCTCTGGGGATGAGATTTGTATTGTCAGCCGCTTGATCAATAAATGCAGTTTAAGGATGAGCCGTTTTCTGGCCATGGATTTGTTCCCTATTCACTTCGCATACGGGAGTTCTTTGAAAGGCATCCAGGTGCCAATCAGGACTGCATCAACATCCTTCAAACAACTGGTGTATTAATTGTATAGGTCCTGTGAGCTGTATAGATCCGTACATGTCTATATATGCATGCGCAGGCAGTTGACCTGGACATCGAGGAATCGCAGGTGCATGGGAGGTTGATTCAGGGAACTGTTCTGTTGACTTGGACCTCATGATTTGTACGTGAATGTGTTCATGTGCAGGCGGTTGATCCAGATCCAGTGATTGAATTGGACATTGAGGACTCGCAGGTGGCACACCGTTGTGACTCCAAAGGCCCACGAGTGTATGATACCAGTGGTCAGGTGGTCCAGCCTTCATCTGTAACTGGGCTC